AGGGATGAGTACATGTTCACTCATTAAATTCTACACAATTGATGTGTCCCTCAAAGTGCGCCGAGGGCCACCGCGTGTGTCACAGCTTCATCCGCTGTGCGGATCGCGTGTGTGCATCCACATCTGCCCGAACCCTTTGCATGTGTGCACACGGGCAGATGTGCACGGCCGTGCACGGCTGCACCTCTTTCTCCACCTCATCAGTAATGAACAGCTGTTAATTGCCTCCCCATCATGTGGGAAGGCCAGAGGACAGAGACTGGGGTTGTCACAGCCTGTTAATAATTACTTTCCATGGATGATGGAGACATTGGTGGCAAAAGGTTAGATGAAAAAAATGATCTAATGTCATAACACTCATATTAGATAATGACCTGTGCTCTCAAACAGTCTGCATTTGTATTCCCTGCTGTCACCTGATTCCATGAAAAGCACGTGAGTAAGCGTTAATGTTTTTAATATATTTTTATATTCTTACAGTGTTACAAAATTGTTTTATCTTCACTAAAGTTTGTTAGAGTTATCAGCATAATCTATGCAGGGTTGTCTTCATGTCCTCAAGGGACATCACTGCATCTACAGTCAGTCTCATATTGCAGCACCTGTTAAATACATTGTTATAAAATAAAGATTTCTACTATAATGATGTGACATGTGTCACAAAAAAATATATATATATATAGTTTCTTCCTGCTGGTACTCAAATTCAGATTTATAAACCTGGCTTCTTCCCTGCAAAACAAAAAAACAAAAAAACCCGAACATCAGATTTCCCAGTAATGGTTTTTCCTCTGTGTTCTGGTACCCAACGGGTAAGCTTTGGTTTCAACATTATCTTCCCCTTTTCTCTTCTCAGATAGTTGCTGAGGATTGCTGGAGGAAAAACAGGAAAGCAAGGGTGACTTTTGTGAAAGCGGGTGTTCCTCAAAGCCAGGATTCAATAATTGCTTTCCTCTTGTCTCACGCAAGTGACAGATGGCGAGGCCACCAGAGGCCTAAAGATGGGAATAATATTGTTGATTAAAAAGAAATATAAGAAACAACATGCAGCTGTTGGCCGGGAGACAGAAGAGAAAAGCTAAAAGCTAAAAAGCAGAGAGTAGATGGAAGGAGACAAAGCTGGGAAACAAAGAAAGTAACAGTGACAGAATAAAACTTGACTGGTTGACTCTCTTTTACTCCTGTGGGACAGACAATTATGTTCCAGATTTTCATGCGAGTTGTTTTTCGTTTGATTCTGGTGAACAGACCACCCGTCAAGTGTGAATGCCCACGTGCGCATGTTAAGCTCGGCGCGTTTTATTGTGTCTGTGTGTGTGAATGGACTCTGACAGTCTTTCGGGGTTGTCCAGGATTCAGCTGGACTGAATCTTGGACTAAAACACCTACTTCTTCTTCCTTGCATGAGTATGCATGCGTTGCTTCTCAGAGAGATTTGCCAACATCAGGGGAAATTTAACACTTCTAATGGCAAATGCTGATGCAGAGCTTGGGAAATTGCTCTCCTATAAAGCCATTGTGTTTCCTTCTTTAGCAAACACTAATGTGATATTCCTCTTTCCAGTATGTCAGAGGACAGAACACTTAGAGACACAGCTGAATATGTCTGTCAGTTTAAAGCATAAAGATAGCTTAGAGGCAGTTTTGTCGTGAAAAATGACAAAAACAGATGTGCAAGCATTGTAAGTAATACGTTTTTTGGAATTTTTAATAAAATGTTCCAACAGAATTTGAAGACACTAACACAATCCTATCAGTAAGTTAAACACACACACACTCACACACACAAGAAAGAATCAGTAGATTGACTCAGATTGTGTCTCCTAAAAGGCTTTCGGACCCTACACAATTTCCCCTAGACTGCAGAAACCAGAGCTACTGTATCTAACATTTATGGAATAATAAGTATGCATGTTTGCCGTCATCTGTGTTGTGTGTTGACTAGATAAGAACGAAAATAAGCCAGTGTGATCGGATGGGAGATCAAGTGAGATTAAAAGATTTAAGGCTCCATTTGCCCATGAATATTTGAGGCAAGAGCCGGTGATCCTCAATCAGGTCGCCAAGGTGTTGGAGGAAATCTGCCTTATCTGCATCTGGCCATTTCTCAACAGTTTGTTATGTGAATCTGGAGCCTTTGTTACTTTACTCTTTGTCCAAGTCAAAACATAGTAAATGATTTATGCATTGTTAAGACATCAAACACTACTCTGTAGCATGACACTGCCAAAACAAGCAGAAAATGAGTAATTGTTTGGCTCAAACTGGACATACAACTCACTACTGGCTCCAGGCGGCAAATATTAATCAGCAGACTAATTACCATTGTGAAATGACATCAGTCTGAATTCTACTGTCCTTTGGACATGCCTCCTATGGTCATTCTGAATAGAATCAAGAAAATGTGTACAAAGTTCAGGCTTAATCAAACTCACCAAATGACCACAATTCTTGTGTTTCATTTACTATGCTTTACCATCATATGACAATTAATCATTCGGCAGCACTTTGAATGACTTGAACTCCAAGAACAACTTTTCTTTGTCGTGATCTGTCTTAATAGTCATGTTTATATGTCAACATTTCGGTCACCAAAATGAATGCTAATGTAAATGAACACAGAGAGAAGCCACAGGTTTTTCTTTCAGAGCTTTCTTTCAACTCTGGATGCAATTTTTTAGAATAGAAAACCTACACTGACATACTTTTGGCTCCAAGGTAAATGCAGGAGCGTTCCCACACTGAAAATACTAAAAGGAACATGTGGAAAATGTGACGTGATAATTACTACCGATGGAAAATACAGAAAGAGACTGGATGCAAGCAAAGTCACATTTTCCAGTCAGTTAACTCAAGTCATAAATAAAGATTTAAACAAGTAATTAAAAAAGGAATCATGTTTCAAAAGTGGAAGAAGAATTCATTTGGCAAATTTCCTTGTACTGTTGCAGGAAACATGACATCTCGACATCCCCCCCTGCTGTGGACATTTTCTCTAACTTCAGTTTCCCTCTTAGTAAGTTTACTTTTAAAGCCCATAGGAGTGCATTTGGAGATACTAAGCCAAGTGTTTTTTTAATCTCATTTTGGGGAGGGACGGGGCGCACGGATGCTAAGGTAGGTTCCCTCCCCCATGGGTGTGTCCTCAGTCTGGAGATCTCAGTCTATCCACCTGCAAAACTCGCTCCGCTGCACTACTCAGTTGAGCGTCGCAGCGCGCAGCTGAAGCTCCTGTTTTCCGCTCTGCTCCAGGAGCAACTCTTTGTATGTCACCTCCCGCGGTGGAAAATACGGAATCTGCTTGATGCAATTTAGAGATCACCTCGAGATTAAGCGGCTACGGCAAGTTGATTTAAATCCAAGCTTTGTTTAGCTCTGGATACTCGTGCAGGATCTGCGCGGATACGCTCGCTGACAGAGAAGATCCAACAATTTAGGTGGATGGTTTTACATCTTTTCCTGCCATAACTCTATTTTCCCTGAAAGCTACAAGGTAGGTAAAAATGTGAGTGCCATTTCGATGCATGACAAACCCAAACTGCCATTTGTGTTTTAAATTATGTACTGTTTAAACAAAATGAAGCCAAATTTGGTAGAGAACAAGAATACTGTCTGCGCTAAATCAGAAAAAAAAAACAAAGACTCAATTAATCAAGTGCGGTCAAGGATTTTTTTTTTTCAAAGCAAAATTATTTTGACACGTAAAATAAATTAGACACATTTTTTAGGAGTGTGTGTGTGCGTCTTACACAATGGAGATTGTTTGAAATAGGCATAACCCTAAATTCTAATTGGAAATAATGCAAGAGGCATGGTCTGTTTGTTAGATGGGCGATGAGTTTTAGGGCATTAGGTGCAAGTTTTTGCAGCATGTTTGCTATGAATCAAACAGCGTCCCACTAATACATTTGACAGTTTAAAATCCTCTTTACAGTTATTAATTGACACGTGGTTGATCTCCGTGTCCTTATGAGTCAAAACCTCGTCACATTCTTGCTTTATTTTGGTTAACGGTTGGCTTGGAGTTCTGCCTTCTGTGGCTCAATTTGCAACTCGATCTTAAACCCTCACTGACTATTTGACCTCAAGCCACGTTTGCGTGTAAATCAGTGGTATACATGAGTTTTATTAGACCAAACACTGCGTTATTGTTTCCAAAATCAGTCCCCTCAAGCAGCGTTTTTTACAAGTTTTGGCGCTATGATGAAGTTATATCAGATCCTCCGCACACTGATAACTTGAACCGTCCTCAGATCCTTTATGAGGACATGATCGTAAGCTCTCTTTGTGGCGGATAACAGCATGTTGGTGCGCTTTGTGGTCACATATATGAGCAGAGCCAGCGCGTACTGGTGGAGCAGCCCTATATCCCACACTTTTGGTGAATTAGACTGTACTGATAAAAAGATGTAATTCCCTAATCCCCATTCAATTTAATTTCACCTGGCCGTTTTGAAGATATCTTGAACACATCCTTCAGAATTTGGAAAGGCGAGGACCTGCATTGGGGCCAGGCCCTTTGCAGCTGGAAGAAGAGCAACCCTCTTGTTTGTTTCATGCACAATGAGGCATACACCAAACAGTAGAACCTAACAAAAACTAAATGATCTACCAGCAGGTTTTTAGACTCCTACAGCATTATAGCTCAAACGAGTGTACATTCGATTAATAAAATTAGCAGGTTAAGATTCTGAGAACTAGTTAAACAATTGTAATAAATTATTATTTCCCCAACTAATATGCAGACCCTAAAGGCTCCAAATGCCATCTCCAGCTATCAACTTTGTGCCCCTGCCCATCAGCATTAAAAAGCTCAAAACTACAACATGAAGCAGATTTTTCAATGAAGCAAGTAATTACGTATTTCAGCTTAGGAGCCAAGAGATGTTTGCTGCAGATGCATTGTGAATTGAAAAGGCTTGCTTATTGTCTGATGCTCATCATTGTCTGTCTCTCAGCTCTGAGCTCTCCTTCTCCTCTGTTAACAAACAAGAGGAGCAATGTTGTGGGTCAAACTCTCCTGGCTGCTGGCCGTGCTGGCTTTATCATCCGGGAACCTGCCGCCTTCCAACGAGGCCCTGTCTGTGCCCAGAATCTTCTTGTCCTTCAAAGGTAAGGCACTGACAGTAAAGCTGTGACCTAGTTTCAGCGCTCTCGTGATTATCTCCGTAAATCCAGATGTGATCAGGTGCAACACTTGCGTTTTCAATTTCTCATTCTTGCTCGCGGGAAGTCTCCGCCCAACCTCAGTTGAGATTTGGTAAGAGTGGGGTCCACTCAGAGCCCATGAAGGAGTGTGATTGTGTTCAGGGGGCCACTGAGAAAAATGAGGAGATGTTCTAATGATTGTCCAGAGCATTCAGGGCTGGAGAATTTGGCTTCATCAAATCGCATGGCTGCCATCAGATCCCCAAACAGGCCTCTGTGTGACCTCAGCTCTCTCCTGAAATCAAGTCAAATTTAACACTTGGCCAGGCACACACTCTGGGTGCAGATCCAGTATGTTATGAATGCTGGCCACTGCCACATGAGACCCTGTGTGTTGAGCTGTGCTGTTAAAATAGGTCTCAGAAGGGCAGTTTCTGCTGCTTTGTCAATCCTGTGACAATGTTATGTCCATGGCTATTCTCGAGGTTTTATTGTACCAGTCTCTGTGGAGAACATTTAATAATGATCTGAGTTCCGACCCATGTCTTTTTTTTACGACATTGCACAATTTGAGAGCTCTGCCTTTTGTCATGTGTTTGGTCATGTGTGAAAGTTTAGGAGCACTTTATTGGACCCATGGCTTTTAGCTCTTTAAAATGAAAACATTTATCTTGTGGAAAAATGTTACATTAACATCCTGTTGATTTTTTAGCTTTGAAATTATTAATGTTATCCCACTGCCAAACTGAAGGTGCACTTCAAGTGGTTGTCAGGTTGTTCTGTCAGAAGGATTATACACAATCAGTTGCCTGAAAGGGTCAGTGGAATTTATTAACTTCTGATGCAGATCAGATCCGACAATTATTAAAATACTTTGTCTGTTAAGCAAAGAGGGATAATGAGTAGTGTCTGTTAGTTTGTTTTGCTTTGTCTCTTAAATCCAGTATTTTTTCTTTTTCTCTTGTCACATTGTATATTTTTCTCTTTTGTTCTTTTGATTAGTTTCAGGCTTAACATATGCTTGGCAGAGCAACTTTAGATAGCTGGAGATTCAAACCCCCCACTAACCAGTGCCTTCTCTAATTGCATACATTTTAAAACACTACCACTGGGAATGCCTTATTAATCTTTTATGTTCTGTTGTACTTAACAAAGTACTTGACTTTAGGTTTCATAATGGCGATACACTGAAGCCAAGTATGTATCACTAGCGTCATGACAATCTCATTTTCAATGAGCACTTTTATTATTATGATGATTAAACAAAACGGGGAGAAATGTCAGCTGCCATGGGTTGGAGCTGATACAATGGGTGCAAAGTACAGTGTTAGTGAATCTGCAACCTATGACCTAGGCCAACGTGTGTATCTATAAGGGTCACATGCTATAGTTTTCTGACTGATTTGTTTTGGGTTTCACGTGGCTGATTTTGCAAGGATCTTGCTCGTTGTCTCAAATCCAAGCTTGTTACAAATGAACCCTCATCTTTCAGAAATATGATCTCTGTCAACACAACAGACACTGGCCATACAGATAACTTTCCCAAACGTGTTATAAAAGAGAAATATGTAATGTAAGATGGCATCAGAGAATTGTATTATAAGAACAACACAAAGATCATTTCCCTCAAAACCCACTCAACACTAGCACTTTAAAATGTCTTGCCCATATACATTTAAGTATAATTTCTTTCACAAAAAGACAAGAGTATACTAATTATATGTGGGATTTCTACCTTTAAAAACACTAATGCCAGTCATTAAAATTAGTGCCACATCTCTTAACAGAAGGTTTATAACATAAATCACCACTTTGAAGCTAAACTGATCATTTTGACCAGAGCAGCTACTGAGTATGTTAGTGCAGGCTGAGTTATTAACTGTGATAAGGACCAAGTGAGCAAACAGAGGATAAGACCTAGGCAAAGGAATGTCTTTTCAAAGCAGATCATCAACCTGGACTTCAAAAGAACTAAAAGGAAAATGGAAGGAGACAGACCAAAAAAAGTCCAGACAGCAATTAATCTCTCAGAATTTCCAAATTTAATGTCTTCTTGATACCTGATATTCTGCATATTTTAGTATCCAAGAAAAAAAATTCAAATGATTAGACTTGTTACAAAGAAGTCCACATTCGTGCAGTTGTTTATGGGTGCTGTGTCTCGTAAAAACTAAATGAGACTGGCTTGTATCAGCTGCTGAGAGCTCCTATATTTACTTTTAAACAAGGTCTATAATCAGGTGCTATTTTCAAGCACTGGGCTCTGTAAGGTTGTGACCCTTCAAACAGAAGCCGGTCACTCCTGAGGTTAACAGCCGTCAAACTGTGGGAGAATGTCACCATATTAACAAGTAATAGCTTGTTAGGCTAATCCTCGGGCACATTTGAAAGTGTTTAACTCTGTTTTTCCTCAGCCTCTGAAGTTCACGGGAGAACACCTGGGTACAAGGTTAGTCCTGGGAAGAAGACCTGGATAGGGAAGACAAAGGGAGCTAGTCCTGTAATTGGACTAATTCTAGGCACAATCTTAAGGTCGCACCTGTCTTTGTAGTTTCAACCCTCCCGCACCAATTTGGGTTGACTGTCAGGTCTGAACAAAGGCTTTACTATCTTTCCATAATTTCTGACAGTTTTCAGCAGTATGGTCTGAAATAGGGATATGTCCTTCAACTTTTCATTCTTTAAATAATTAGGAGATGCTACTGAGTTTGAACTTTCTATTTCTAACTCCACCACAATAGGCAGCTTCCACAGATTATGTTCCATAGGCAGATTTATGAGACTTTTGTCTTCCGCATGTTATCTCAGTGTGACATTTCTCCATGTTGGTGGTCCTGCACTGTTGGCATCTTTTTGATGTCTCTGGTGAAAGGAAACGCATCAATCATCCGCGTGCTTCCCCGAGCCGCATCTTATCCACAGATTTTTGAAGAGGTCCTGGAACTTGCTCCGTTTATAACCTGTTTATTTAACTTTGCCATTGGAGACACAGCTAAGAGTGTCAGCAAGGCTTTTCTGCAGTTAAGACCAAGCAATCAATGAGCTACTAAAAGCTTATGCACAGCTACCCGCTTTGCTAGGAAATGATCCTTAGACAGGAAAGCCAAAAAGCATACAGCAAATAAGGTGATTGAATGCATCATTGCAATATTTGTTAAAAAGTAGGCACATCAATAATCACCTGCTTGCCACCATTGCAGAGACATCAAGAGGACTAATGTCTAACTAATGTGTTATCGTTTAGGAGATGGCTCACAAATTTTCAAGTACTCACTGAAGGGTGTTTCCATTATGTTGTCCATCCCAATTATATCAATGAATAGAAGCTCAATAATAAAAACAGCAGGCAGTTTAATTCACTGCAGTTCTAAAGCCTCAAGCTGCAGTTCCCGAATGAGAAAGAGAGTAGAATCACTTCCAACACAGACATTTGTAATCAAGCCGAACCTGTTTTCCATTCTCATAATCCAGAAACCTTCTTGCCATTCAGCCGCAAAACAGTTGTCAGTGATGAGCTCTATCTTCAGACTACATCACAGCAGCTTTTATTCTATCATATTAACAGAAATCATCAGTGGTGTTACACATACTGAGACTTGCTTTGCATGGAAACATAGATTTGCACAAGACAAGTTTTCATTTTGTGACACATGATAATGATTTTCAACAGATTGCCAGTTGGTTATCAACAAAAAACAGAACAAAGCACATCAAATGGAGCCAGCTGGTGAATAAAATTTTTAACATCTTGTCCAAGTTTTCTTTTGTTTCTTTTTTTCTTTTTTTTTCCTTTTAAAAGCACATTTGGAACACACAGTTTCTGAGGATTACAGAAATTGCATAGCTCCCTGATACCAGACTCTGATCATAAGCTGTTTTGTTCTGGTTACATTTGTGCAGAAAATTAAATAAATGCTGGACTTGTGTAGCAGACAATCGTTGGTCACTTATTCACTGACCTAATAACTGATCCCAAACTGGCCTCTTAATTGTTTATTTTTTAACCAATCACTTAACACTTTCATTTGTTACAATCAGCATGCAGTTATATGAAAGGTGTTAATATTTATATTAAACATTATATTACACATCGCACTAAATTAGGAGCTACATAAAAACAACAAAAGAAGCTTTAACCATGAACCATCAGCTGCAATTTCTGTGGCATGGACAAAAAACAGTCTTCTCCTTCAAACTTGGAAAACGCTAATTCGCAGATGCTCTCAGAAAAAGGTTGAGGTTTAAAGCTTGTTATATATCTTTTTTTAAGGTTGTTCTTTTATTCCTACTGCTCTGATGATCAAGAGTTTGTAGTTTTTCACATTTTACCTGCGGGATGCACGTGGTTTAAACTGCTTTCTTTTTTTGGGGATATCTAAGGAAGGGAAAATGTTTCCACAGACTAATGTGGCATGGCTGTAGCACGCAAGCCCCCAGCAATTATAACAATACTTAGGTACTTTTCTTCCAGAGATGTTGGGGAAAGGGAGGGTTAGTGTATCCCAGCAACCTCTGCACCGCAGGATACATTTAGTCAAACTATGATTCTTCAGGAGAGCAAAACAGAAGGTGACAGCTTCACTGCTAAATATAGTGTCCCTCCTGTCTGTTTCTTTCTCTCTTTGCCTGCCTCCCCTCCTCTGCCTCATCATCCTCCTCCTCTGCTTTTACTCTACACTTGCACCCTCTCTATCGGCGTGCTGATAAGAGGTTGGCAGTGTGAACTGAGTGAGGCGAGCACCCAGTGCGCCTCTCGCAGCAGGGCTCTGTTTTAGCACACGCAAAAAGTGTAAGGCAAATTGCAAGGGAGCGGGGGTCTCTAAAGTGGCCAGACGTTCTCTGAGAGGACGCAGTAAGGGAGAAGGGGAATCTCTCAGGAAGGAGTGGGCTGACATCTGACAGATATTACATTGCAGGTTGACTAAAACGCATTAGAGCAGGATAATTTTATATTTTAAAGCTTA